TGTTATCAAATTATGCTGCGTGTTGAAGGCTTTAAATTATATCACGAAAGCCCTGCATGTGGTATATGAAAGTTTGAGCACCAAATTCAATAACAAAAACGGGCAGGAAATTGGTTTCGAATAGAGTCTTGAATACTAGCAAATATATCTAAACTAAATCTTTATATCAGTTTATTGTATACAGATGCTTACGCAAGATTCTATCTATTTTATCCGCCTCTTTTCGCTCATCCGTTTTTTTTAGGCGCGCATTAAACTTTTCAAAGTTGTAGCAAAATCTTAGGTATATCCTTTTCTTTTATTTTTGATTCCTTTCCATAAACGAAATTTACATATAGACTTAATCTATTCAAAAATCTATACCAGCTAAGCAACAGGAACAATTTTGCGACAAAAACAGCAAATATCAATGCATAATATTTTTGTGACCGCTTAATGACGTTTAGCTTACATCGATTAGTCACAAATAATTTTCTTGACTCTAGATGGGTCTTTTTCAAAAGTGGTCCGTATTAGATAAGGTAGAAACTCGTGATTTTTCGTTGTAAAAAGTATTTCTTTCTGGCGAAAATGTATATGGACAAAACTTTTCTCAATTATGTTAAACAGCTTTTATGAGCAGATATAGAAGGGATTTTATAAGAATCGATGTGCTCCTTTATAAGGCACTCATTTATTCTTTCTGCACTTCGGAATACGTTTCAATTTCTACCATTTCTACACCTTGCCATAAGTAAAACTGCCACATTCCAAGATAACCTAAAGCATAAATTAATCCATGCCCGACTATCATAAAACACAATATACAACAACAAATGTATTTTGCTATCAGTTGTCAATTTATGTTCTACATTAGTATCCAAATTTACGAAATTAGTATTCGGAAGTTCGCAACTCAAATGCACTAGAGTTTATTTTGGTCGTAACTGCAGCCAGAAGGCCGACAAAGGCAGAAGGCTTTCATTGCCTTTTCTATTTCATAACTTCTTTCTAATTGTGATCGTGTCTAAATATAAGAACCATTACTCCTAAGTAATTACGTAAGATAAAAAAAAAATTTGTTATTTTAATATAAGATAAAACCTGAGCTAATCTTCGAAATTTATTGCAAATCTTTAACTTTTAGACATTGTCTAGTCTGGTGGCAACTTTGAGGAAAGCGCAAAAAATTAGCTTTAACCCTCGTGCGGTTTTATTTTATTATTGTTTACACATGAAACTCGTCTAAAATAAATCAACAGCCTAACTCGACTGACTCTTAGAAGTAAATCTTGTACTAATTATTATTTAAAGCTAGCATAAAGCGATATAGATAACACACTCAGCTTGGCAATGCCTCTACAGGTCGCAACGTGGTGTCTATTTCCACATTTGTGAAGTGAAATAAGAAACTACTCTTCTAACACAAAGCGATAACACTTATTTCAAGAGTTGATTGATTTTTAATAACCTTACATAACTCGTCAGAGCATGAATCGAATATTAAGATTGAATACCATCAGACATAACAATATTTGAGAGACTTCAAACCATGTAAACATCGTTTTCTGAAATGAGAAAGAAGTGACCGAGATACGAATAGTTAACAATTAAATCTTTGCAGTTAAAAAATTTTGTCGGAAGTATTTAGCAAAGAGATTTGAGAATTCCATATCACAGGAGGACTCGGAGGTATTGAAAGAAATCTGCAAGGGATATATAGAGATTTTTCTTTTGGGACTTTTGCAGCAAGATAACATTTTATATTATCCTCAGAGTTGTCAGGTATCAATTGCCTTTCTGGGGGGTACTGCTGATAATCACACGTCACCCTTGCTACGAACG